GTGATGATGATGATACTATGGCTAATACATGGTAATGATGTTATTGATGATGATATGATCAGTGATGTGATGACGATGATGATTATGGTGATGATGATGAAATTATAGCTCATACGTGGGGATGATGTTGTTGATGATGATATGATCAGTGACGATGATTATGATGACGACGATATGATAACAAGAAAATAATGATGATGATGATAATGGTGGTGATGGTTGTGGTGATGGCCTTAATGATGTTAGTTGAAGCAATAGTACTCACTGTCTATATCGAATGGTACGGGTTGACAATACACTATCAGGTCTGATAGTTCTGGACTAATATTCTGTCTGATTGATTGTTTTCTCATATTTTCTTTCTCTTCTGGTGCACATGCAACAGCTTCTTGTAATTTTACCAGCCACTCGCTTAATTCCTGCAAACGAAGAAAATAAACAGCGTACAGGATATACAAGATATTCTTAACATTATTTACTTTAAATTGTTTATCTTGTAAATAAGGAAAACTTCATTGCAATCGGAAATAACATCTTTCCCTCAAACCCTCAGTAGACCTCTGTTTTTTTTTTTGGCTCGAGACAAGAGTCTGAGAGGTTGACGTGAGGAGTAGCAATCATAGGGTTAATCTTGTAATAAGGAAAACTTCATTGCAATCGGAAATAACGTCTTCCCCTCAAACTCTTAGTAGACCTCTGTGTGTTTTTGGCTTGAGACAAGAGAGATCAACTTGAGGAGTATCAATCATAAGATCAAAACTTACTTCTGGTGTTTCTGCAGCTGCTTCTAATAATGTTTGGCCATGTTTGACGATTCGTACAAGATGTCTTTGTCCTCCTCGGGGAGGGGGCATCTCTGAAGACGTAAAATTAACAAATAGATATCAGTTTTTAATGTGTCTGTCCTCTTATTGACGATAAATGGCGTCATCACATTGCTAAAGTAGTGTGGATTCACAAGGCATAGCCGAGATCCGCATACTACTTTGACAATGTGATGGCGAAAATTATTGTCAATAAGAGGACAGACACATCAAAATCTGAAGTCAATAAATTTCTTACAATGACAAAAACAACAAGAAAAACGATAAAAACTTCTCATTTTTACTGATCAAAACAACCAACGGAAAGAGCTCGCGCTCGTTGACGTCAGCTTTATCTGTCTGTTCTCTTATTGATGATAAAAAATAACCAATCAGCGCGCGAGAAATTGACTATTTAAAATTGTATTTGTTAGATCAAACAGATGACACGGGAAGTTGACAAAAATTACGCCATCTGGCATCTGAGCAACGATTGATAAATAGACTCTTCCCGTATTCGCTTGAGTGACCAGGAAACAAAGGCTTCAAGTCGAGGTTTGACCTCTTCTTGTAGCCAGAACTTTCAAACAATCATGTTTAATCAAAATAAAAACTTCTCTAATTTTTTGGGCTCATTGGTCCATTAACATGGAAATATTGAAACTACCTGACTAGACAAGGCTTGCTTACCTACTGAACATCCTTGGACATCAATAGCACCCTTCTGTAGATCACCAAGCACTTTACTGTCCTTTTCTTGATTAGACTGTATTGAATCAAAGATATTCCTATCAAACCTAAGGTCTCAACCTAGTGGCACTGGAGCATTCAATTGCTTTTGTATGACCAGGGAAGGGAAGTAGGTGGTATGGGGTAGGTAAGGGTCCATTCATTTTTTATTTGCATGGGGGGGG